CATGTCATCCCAAGGCGGGCATTCCAGAGCACACAGGATTTTGTTGAAGCTGTGGCCTGCAATCCAGATAGTCCCCTCTGCATGTTAGGACAGTGTGCTGAATGCAGGAATGGCAAGCTCTTGGAAATGCGTACCCTCTGTAACATCCCAGAAGAAGATAACCAAATTAAGGTGACCTGGTACGCATGGGAAACAACAGAAGGGCTGCCAAATAAGGTCCAAAAGAGTGGCACACTAGGTGATGTGCTTAATTTTCTCAAGATAGTGGCTACAAAATTTGTGCATCACTGTTTTGTTAAAAAACAGCAAAGTGGATTTTTCCAGGCCATAAAACTGCAGGCAAAAACAGACCAGGAAACTGTGGTGCTGCAGGTAGATTTTGCCGAAAATTACACCGCTGCCTACCAAGACCAGATCCAGTCAGCACACTGGCATCAGAGGCAGGTCAGTGTTTTCCTCAGTCCTGTGGTCTGATGGAGATCCTGAGTCATATGCCATAGTGAGTGACAGCCTGGAACACGACAAGAGGTCTGTGGCAACCTTCCTTTCCAAGATTGTGGAGGACATTAAAATGAAACATCCTGCAATGAAAGAGATTAACATATTTAGTGATGGAGCTGCTTCTCAGTTTAAGAACAAGTTCATCTGGTGTTTCATGTCAACTACATTCAAGGAGCTGTTTCCAACTTTAAGAGTACAGTGGCACTTCTTTGCCACAAGCCACGGCAAAGGTGCAGTGGATGGTGTGGGAGCAACAGCGAAGCGTGCAGTGTGACAGATGCTGCTTCATTTGTAGCTTCTGCAAGGAAGAGTTGCCTAAACATAAACATCAAACTCATTACATCCACCGAAATCACAGATTTTATACAGTATCATAAGCTGGATGAGAGATGGGCCATCACCACAGCTGTTCCCGGCACTCAATCAGTACATCACATTGACCAAGTCTCCTGGGGAGAAGTGCGTCACAAAATCTACAGTCAGGTGTCCATACGTTTCTCTCGGAAATCACATCTGCTGAAAGTCCCGAACGCCAGTCCTCTCTCTGAGCGTCAGTCAACAGCTGCAAAGAACATCAAAACTGGAGACTGTGTCTTGGTCCAATTCAAGGCAAACAAATCATTCAGGCAGTTTGTCGGACTTGTTAATAACCGAGAGCAGGAGGCACTGGAAATAAGGTTCTTAAGAAGGAATGACAGTGCTGGATTAGTGTACATCTTACCTGTGATGGAAGATAAAGCTTGGGTGACACCTGACCAAGTGATTGAGACTTTCAACCCAAAAGTAGACAACAGAGGGAGGTATCACTTTGCAGAGGCAGTCTTTGCAGAATAGAAAGAGAAAAATAGAAGTCATCTAATTAATCACATTTGTACTCAATTATTTGATATTTTGCATGTTTGTTTTGCCTTGATTGATGTTTTACATTAGCTTTTACATTTGATAATTTCAACATCTTTACAATATTTCATAACATGTAAAAAGTAAAGACTATGTCTACAATTAATTAATTTTACTTTATTTTATGTCTACAGTAAATTAATTTTAATTATTTTTTTTATTTCTTATTCATGATGATTCATGTTCATAATTTCTTATTCATGATGATTCATGTTCATAACAAGTGATCAGTTTACACTGTATGCTCACCTTTTTTGGACCTCTTGTTGCTACAAAGTCCTTAACGCTTTGCAAATGTTGGCCTGTGTAAAAAAATATTATGTATTTTTCAAGTATTTCTTAGAGATGTTCACATTAAACAATAAATGAACATACTGTATTGACTTTGTGCTCACCTTTTTTGGACATCTTTTTCACACAGCTCGTTTTGCTGCGTTTTAATCTTCTTAACATCCAAATGCCAGCCATTCAACTTGGTAAAACATAACTTCTGAAATTAAGTAATCTTTTGAGACGATAAATGACATGTAGATTATTCTAAAGTATTGGCTAACATTGCAATTATTTTGTCAAAACATAATGCAGCTATTTTGACTCACGATTGTGCATTTTGCAACGCAAACTAAGAAAAAATATTGCGATCAAATATAATATTGTCATCACTGTGACACACGATTGTATTTTGCATGCCATTCTCCACACAGGCTTACACACTAACAAGCAGACAATGCTTCAGTTCGCCTAAGCTTGTTCTGCGACCTCCGGAACTTGGTAAACATGTATTATAGCTGATGATGTATATTAGCAATTTTATATCATCCGGGGTCTAAAGTAAACACCACATTAGCAAACAATATCAAGTCTGAATTCAGTTTTGAACAGGTCCGCACTGGTTACATTTTAACACCGCATTCACACGAACACAAGCTCATCTATAACAAGGTGATTTCAGTTTAAATGTTATTAATATAAATTAACTTACCATACAGATGTCTCGGAGGACAATGTTTATTGGTTTAAATACCCAACAGAGACCCACAAACAGATCTCAGTTAAAGTTTTTAAAGCATTTTATCTGATTTTCCAGGGTCAGACAAGTGTCAATTTCAGATCCGTCATGTCCGTAACGGAGAGACGTCACGTTCGTAACAATGGTTTTTCCTTTGAATTACTGAAATAAATGAACTTTTCCACGACATTCTAATTTATTGAGATGCACCTGTAAATGCAAACATGAAAAACGAAATAAAATAATTTATGTTCCATGGAGAGCAAACCCTTATCGTTTCGGCTGGTATCATTTTTTTTAATTCGCAGAATTTCTACAAAGCATGTCGACTCCCAAAAACTCAAGTCCTTTTTTGTCACGTCCGTAACGCATGCATATTTCCCTCATTTAAAATATTAAACACGTGTATAGACTGATATTTTTCTGATGCCTGAAATCTATGGTTAAGGGTTTAGAAAAATATAAACAGATGTTTCAATATATTGTTAACATATGCATTCTCTGAGAATTTATGTTTCAAGTTTTTACTGCAAATGTCACGTCCATAACGCTGGAATTGCTCACTAGCGAATTTAAAGATTTCTAATAAATGAAGAAATTGACTTGACTTTGAGTTGAGAATGAATAGCCTATTCTAAATTAAATCAGTCTCGAAACGCATGACTCGGTAACGACTTTAAAAGAACTGTAATTAACCTTTAAAAAAATCATTGCAACATTAACTAATAGCCAACACAAACTGCAAGCCACGGAAGCAGCGGCACCGGTGCCTCTGATCAGAGTCTACACGGCTGCATGACGCTGTGCAAGCGCAGAGCAATACAGGGGTAGAGGAGAATCTACTAATATTGTTTGTTTGGATATAAACACTTCGAAATGGACCATATTCATAAAAATACATTTGGTGTACGCAGTTTACAAACTGAACATGACCGCCGCAACCTCGAACTTCATTCACTACAGTAAAACAGTTTCTATGGATAATTTGACTAATATTGTTCATACAAACTGCTATAATTTATTACGTTGTTATAATAATTTAGAATTGTAGTAATACTAAGTATTATAATAAATTTGTATATCATTATAAAAAAGTGTATATGTAAGAAATGTAATCATCAATGATGGATAAATAATTAAGTACAGTTTGTTGTAAATATAACTCCACTCGATTCTGGTACTGTCACGATACTGTGTCGATGAACGCACGAAGATGAAGATGAAGGAAAACAGTGTTTAATAAATCCACAGAGAGCTAATTCCAAGGTAAGGGAAGGCTGGTGACACATAACACTGACGAGACCCAACAAACTAACACTGAACAGACAGGAACTTAAATACACAGACCAAACTAGAATAATGACTAGACACACCTGAACTGAATGACGAAATCAAATCAAAAACCATAACAACTAACTAGACAGTGACAATGGTGCAAACAGAGTCCAAACTAACAGAAACTGTGACAGGTGACCTCTGCTAAATATACTTCTGATCTGCAAAGCTCGATTTGCTTCACCTGAATGTCACACATCTCATCGGAGAACCATTTGAGTACACAATTCATTCTCCTCAACTTATAATCAGAGAAAAGTTGTTCACTATATCAAAGACTATTTCTGACCCAGGAAAACCCTGTTTAATGTTTCAAGGCAGTCAGATAGATAAATTAAAGGAGGTATTTCACCCAAAAATGTAAATTCTGTCATACTCTCTCTCATGTTCTTCCAAACCTGTATGATTTTCTTTCTTCCATGAAACAAAAAAAAAGGAAATGTTTTGTACATTGTAATGAAAGGCAATGGAAAACAAACCAAGCTCTATTTTGATCACCACTGACGCTCATTATATCTGGACAATAACTTTCTTCACAACTTCTTTTGTAACATGGAAAAAAGAAAGTCATACAGGTTTGGAACAACATATGTGTCATGGATTCACCAGGCTCTCCCGTCACACACACACACACACACACACAATCACACTCACACTCTCACACACACACTCTCTCATTCACTCACTCACACACTCTCTCACACACA